AGTAGGAATATTTCGCCCCGTGTTTGCCATACAGGCAGCACTTAGTCCTTTTGGTTCAAATATATGCTCTCAGTCTCATTAGGCTTGTGACTTAACTTTTTCTGCCGTCCACAATGTTGACTGGTTAAGTTAAGGATTCAAATTACAGAACATAAACAGTTGGGGCTGGAGCGCCAAGTTGTTAAAGCTGTGTGTGTGCCTGCCTAAACTAAAACAAAAGTGCTGCCTACCAGACAAAAGTAAGGGTAAATACACACGTATATCTTGTTTTCGGCCATTTTAATGGGTTTTCAGTGTTTCAGTTTGCCATTTTTGCAAAATATTGTTTTTGTTATCATATGATCCTGTAAAATGTGCAACAATTCCGTTTAATACGTTCACTGGATTGCATTGTAAAGTTAATTGCAATGAACTGACCTGCTGAATATGACTCCTAAATCCAAATTACTGGTGAAAGTGAAGCTATTTAATTCCTTGTTTGTCTTCACACTCACAAAACTATACTAATGTATTGTTCTTTTGTTCTTTAAAACAAAAATATATTATTAAACGTTTTATTACATCATTGATGCCAGTGATGTGTACTATTTCACTGCATCCCACTAATCCTGGAGTTTCAATAACAATTTGACTCCATTTGTTTTGTTTGCTTTCCAGCTCTTGCACTGTACATTTGTGTATATTTAGTTGTTTGTCTTTATTTTGAATATTGCTATTGTCTTGTCTGTTTGATTATATCATGAGCTACTGATATTTAAAAGTCTTTCAATGTGTCAACGTACCTGGTCACTGATTTTTTAACCTACTGAGGTAAAATACAACATGAAACAGAATTTGTTTTTATCATTTATTACAGTATTTAAAACCTGATACATCACCACACAGTTCACTGTACAAGCAGGTCCTCAATTAAGATGACTAGACAATTAATTGTTCTTGGCACACAAGGATAACCCCTTTCATAAATCTTAAATGTGGTAATGACACTGTATACAACACACATTGTGCTGACAACAGATCCATAATTGAGCTCCAAAATATTTGTTAATAATACATATGGAGCTAATATTTGTTTTGTAACAAGTCACTGAAACCCAAGTCAGACCCATATGTTATTGAGAAGAAAAAAAAAACACAACCATATAATATAAAAATGGTCCACAAGGTTTCAAAAAAAGTAAGGGTGGAATCCATCACACTTATTCAAAAAAAAATCAGGGAGGTGGGTGGTCAGGTAGCTCATGGATGTTATGCACTCCCATGATGATGTCTAGGTCAAGGTCTCTCCTTTCGTCACCTGTAACGACACATAAAACATGATGTAATGTTTATATTATTTGAAATATTATATAGAAAATGCATTGACATTTTTAAATTGCATTGCAGTATACTTACTCTCGCCTCAATGTATTCAATCCTCCTCTCCAACGCTGTGAGCTTCTCATTGAGGGTGGCCAATCGTGATCGACACGACATATCTGAAGAGGAAACATTGTAATTAGCATGTAACGATCACCAATCACACATTTAACGTTAGCATTGATCAATTGACATGAATTAATAGTGTCACTGTTACTGGATTGTTATGCTTCTGCTGGTATAACGCAGCCGAGCAGCGTTTGCATTGGCTTCACTGCCCTGTATCCACGTTAATTCAACTATTTCAACATTAGTCTTTTGCAATTGTTATGTTAGCTGCCCAATACTCGCCACCAAGCAGTTATTATATGTATAAGAGGGAACAATAACCAGCTCTCAGCTAACGATAAAGCTAACTGGGAGTGGCCACTGAAAGCATCAACATCAATGCTAGCAACAGCTGAGCTAATGTTAGCAGAAGTAGCTAGCTGTTCATCACATCCGCGTTAGATGGTTACTCACGGTATCCACATTAGTGCTATTAAAAAGCTTACCAAATGAGTTAAGGAAGTCGGCGATTTTTTTGATGCTGCTCGTTATCACTTCTATGTACTCTCGATTCGCCCAATCTTGGTGAATCTCTCTCTGCACTGGATCTTCCTGGCCAGCCATTTTGGAGGAGTTGAGGTTTAATAGCGCAGCGTTCAATCAAGGATAGCCCCCTGCCTTCAACCAGGAAGAACAGCAGAGACTAGTGCCGCTGTTTCTGTTTTCAATATTGGGGAAGTAATTATTACTAATCACAGACTACTTTTAAATAACACATTTTGCATTATTCAAATGATGACACTCATTGTAATAAAAAAAAAGGGCCCATAGTTATTGGCTGAATATTATATTATTGGATTATAGTTATGGATGCTGTGTTTATCACTTTATTGCTCTGATAAATAATTAGCTTTTTCATTTAACTAAAGTTATGCAACACAAGTTATAGGAGCTCTGCTGCCTGTGCCCCTTGGTAGTGGAGTAGTAGCCTATAGTGTACCAATACATTATGAAAATGCTCAGTATATTACCTCAAATACAGTACAGTTGAGTAAATGTATTAAGTTACTGTTCACCTTTGTTATTGTGGCCACCACATTTGTATTTTGCAGCTCTGCATACAGTATACAGAAATGGCATTACATTTTTTTTAATACAATCCAATGAAGAAAATGGCCATGTGAGTTATACAGTCAGGCAGTTAGTATTTTACATGTTCATCAGAAACTCCCCACAAAACTTGTTTAAAAGAGTGTCTTCATTGAGTAAAGAGGCTGAACTACCATAGTGTACTGCACAGTACACATTTAGGGGTGCATGCTATTACAATTGTCTTCAACTAGGAAGGTGGAAAAACATGATGAAATACCCAAAACAAACAGATGTGTACTGATTAATCTTTTTGACCAGGCTAGTCTGTGTGTTGTAACAAACTTTAATTGACCCTCTTAAGTAGCTTTTTAATATCTGTCTCAATGTCAATGGTAAGGACATTTCTGCCGTATCGCTTGTGAGGCTCTCCATCAGGGCCAACCAGGAACTTCTCAAAGTTCCAGGAGACGTCATTCCTACTAACAGGACTCCAAATTATGAACTTTGGGTCGGTCATAAGAGCCATGGCATCATCACAGGGAAATGGAAGCTTTTCCTTCAGATATACAAACAAGGGATGTGCATCCTTTCCATTCACATCCACCTTTTCAAGGAGTTGGAAATTAGGTTCAAATCCATTGCCTGGACGGATATACTTCAGAGACCTTAGAATTTCATCATTCTTGCAGTTCTCCTGTTATAAAAGAGATAGTGACATTACATTAATATTGTATGGGCATAATGCAATCGGGTTGATGAAAGCATCCAGAAGTTTTTATGTTATCGTATTCTACTTTATACTTATAGCCTACTATGCTGTATGTCTTTTTTTTTTTCTTAGTTAACATTAAGCTGTCTTTGGCTCTTTACGGGGAGCTATAGGGTCGCCGCTTCAAGTCCCCGAACAGACCTAAATGTGGAGTGTGGACTGCTACTTGGAGAGGTCCCAGTTCACCTCCTGAGCCCTGCCGGTGTGCCCTTGAGCAAGGCACCGGAAACCCCCCTCCCCCCCACTCCCATTACTCGATGGGCACTGTGCAATAGCTGCCCACTACTCCTAGTACTAGGATGGGTTAAAAGCAGAGAACACATTTCACTGAGTGTTCTGTGTGCTCTGCATGTGTGACCATTACATTATCGATCTATCCATCTATCTATAGATCTATCTATCTGACAGCTGAAGTAAGTGGTTATTTTGTACAGACTCAGGTTCTACACTAAAAATGATCACCTAATAATTCAATATAAGGGACCATTATAGAGTGGGCTACTACTACCCAACAGTATATAAAGTAGGTATAATTGGGTTTTACAACAAAACTACAGCAATGCATTAGTAATAACAACACACAACATTAACACATCTGAACCATAGAGATCTGAACACCTAACCCAAACACGCACACACATCCGCTGATTAAATTAGCCTGCAATGTAGCCTACATGTTTCCTTTTGTGCTATGTTCTGATTTACTGATCTATCATATGTCTATGATATACAGATAGGCTTCATTTATCTATGTTATGTCCTTGAGGGACATTGTGTTCAAAATATTTAAAATCCTACCATGTGTAAACAGTAGCCTATATCAACCTACCTACCTGATGTCCAAACTGATTACAGGGCACACCCAGAATAACAAGTCCCTTTTCAGAGTACCGCCTGTTGAGCTCGTTCATCTGAGTGTAGTGTGTTGTTGTTCCTCAAAGAGACGTCACATTCTCAATGAGAACAACTTTGTCCATCAGGGCAGAAAAACTAAAGCTTTTTCCAGACAGCATCTTAGCTGTCAGGTCGTAAAACCTTTTCACATTGCCTGCCATACTCACAAATTCCGGATGGATTACAAAATCAAGTAGATTTAAGGAGAAAGAAACGTTCAGTTTATCTGAGCTGGGCGGTCCAATGTTATCAAGTTCCTTTTAAATCCAACCCTCATTTTTTTTAATGGGCGGGACAGGTTGCATTTCAAATTACTCTCAATGCTGATTTTTTTCTGATTTATTACAAATGTTCTTTGTGTTGTTTTCAATACCCAGACGATTCTATCGCAAACGTTGTGAGAGATCATAATTGCAATTCTAAACTCAGAACGCCATCAAGGTATAGCCAGTTTACCATCATCATGCCGCCCAGTTAACATGAATTATTACCCAAATATGGTAAATCAGTTAAACCAGAGCTTCTAAATAGCCAACTTCGTGTGTTTCTGATCACACACTTCGCACATTGGATTCTACTTCCTTATATCGTTTACCAAAATTAAACATTGGCGAAATGGGCATCACAATAGTGTAGGTTACCCGTTATAACATGTGGAAATTGTTAAACCTTTATCAAATGACCTATGCAGATATTTACTTCACATGCATATATTACCATCGAAATCTAAATTATAAAACATTTTTCGACGAGGGCTCCTTTCACGAATTCTACAAGTTTCTTTTGAACAAAATCCCCCCCTTTTGTCGGCGTAGATGGTACTTTCCAGGAAGTCCTGAACAATGTGTAATCTTTTTGATTTCATTCAAGGACAGAATTGCCAACTGAAAACGATCAAAAACGTTCTTAAAGATGTAAGACGGTCGTGGGAAATTGCAACACACGTGTTAAGGGTTCAGAAGAAGTTAAACAACGTTATCCGCCGTTTACTAAGCTATTATGCCAGACTTTGTTGGTGTGTGTGTGCTCATCAGCGTGTTGATAAGTCTGATAACAGTAGTTGGTTACCTTTGGTACTCGAGACTCCTCTCAGACATCCCCATTCAAACTGGCTCTCCTCCCGTAAAGAAGATTACATTTGCTTATAAATTCAAAGAAGGACCTTACAAAGACTGCAGACAACTTTTCAAGGAGTCTCGTAGTATTGGACCAAAGCTTTCATGTATCGGAGTATTTTACGATGATCCTAAAAAGGTAATCTTGCACTAAACCTTTTACAACACTTGGTAGATCAGCAGTTTATTTTGCATGTGTTTTTTTGCATTTTTGGTGAATACTTTCACTTTAATAAAGGTGGATTTGACTGTTAAATAAGTTGTGTAGTGTAGATGACCACTAGATGGGGCCAACGCCATTCTATTAAACACGTTTAGTGTTCAGAGATTAATATATAACCTCTCAGATAACATTCATTTTAAATAACTTTATTAACCCAATCAAAGTGATTAATTTTCACAATTCATATTCCGTCTAGTGGCATCCCATTTAGTCCTGATATCCTGTATTTCTTTCCCTTGTCTTGGCATTTTCGAAGGAGATTTTTGACACCAAATATATTATCTTTTTTCTCCTTGAACAATACACATCTGGGCAGGGTATGGTGTGATTTGTGGATGTATTAGTGTCACATATGTCATACAATATTATCCATGTTCTTTTTTAAATCAGAGCTGAACCCGAGGTCTATATGGGACTCTAAAACACAACAAAGTATATATTATTATTATTATATTTCAACAAATGCAAACATTTTTTAATCAGATCAAAACACTATGGTCATCTGCTAACAGTAACCACAATAATAACCACAATAAATCAACACATTTAAAAAAAAACTACAACATTGATTTGAATGATATTGATTTTCTTTTCACAGTAACCTACTACAGTATTCCTTCGTTTACAGTTTGAATTAGCTGATTTGGCAGTTGAATGAGATCAGATTAGTATTTCTTCTGGCCTGAAATCCTTTAATGCTATTCATCAGTAGAGAGTTTTACCCCCTGATCCCACCGGAAGCGTCTGCGCTGCGGCTGCGCCGCGCTGCGACCTCCTCCTGCGTCATAACCATAGACTGTATATATAAAGGTCATAACCCACCAGGCGCGTTTCAAAACGTTGCGGAAGCGGAGCGTCGTGTGTGCAGCCTCGCAGTTGTTGGATGAACGTTCCACTTCCTGCCTGCGCTGCGCTGCGCCGCGTAAAAAATAGGATTCATCCTATATTTTAGAAATTCCTTGCGGCGAGGAGCTTCTGGGACGCTTCGAGCCGCGGCGCAGCGCGGCGCAGCGGGTCTGGTGGAATAGCATCCATTGACTAGAGTGGCCGCGATCGCTAAAAACGCCACTCTAGTCAATGGGTGCTATTCCACCAGACACGCTGCGCCGCTTCCGCAACGTTTTGAAACGCGCCTGGTGGGTAACCCCCTAATCCCACCAGGAGCGTCTGCGCTGCGCTGCGTTGCGCTGCGGCTGCAGCGTTTTTAGCGATCGCGGCCACTCTAGTCAATGGGTGCTATTCCACCAGACACGCTGCGTCGCGCTGCGCCGTGGCTCGAAGCGTCCCAGAAGCTCCTCGCCGCAAGGAATTTCTAAAATATAGGATGAATCCTATTTTTGACGCGGCGCAGCGCGGCGCAGGCAGGAAGTAGAATGTTCATCCAACAACTGCGAGGCTGCACACACGACGCTCCGCTTCCGCAACGTTTTGAAACGCGCCTGATGGGTTAGGACGCAGGAGGAGGTCGCAGCGCGGCGCAGCCGCAGCGCAGACGCTCCTGGTGCGATTAGGGGGTTAGTCAAATTAGCTAATACACTATACAACTACAGTTGTGAAGAGTTATTTTTTTAATTATCGCATATATTCCATCAATAACTTAATCAAACTATTGTCTAGGCAAGTAATGTTATTACGGATGCATCTTCTGACTGTCAGTTAAACTGTCTTGTTAGCTTGGGGTTAATACAATATTTATTTAATATGGGCTCTTTTGGAGTTCCATAAAGATCAAGAGTCAAAACACTTTTCTTTAATATGACTGACACTTTTGTGGTCTCCTTTACTGCCACAACAATTCTCCTTTAAAGCAAAACTAGTAAGTTGTATCGCTCTTTGAGATGTGTTCCTAATTCCTACATTCCCAATCGTTCTCTGTGTGAACTACATCCATCTCAAAATCTCAGTGTCTATAAGCAGGAAATATGATCTGCTGGATCTGTTTTTCTGATACCTAATACGGCTCAATCTCTGGGGTTTCCGAAATCACGCAGTGCTAGTTCGCCAATTTTAAAGCAGGTCCAGCGTGGGTTGTTTTTTCAACAGGCACTGCCGAAACAGAAGGAATGAGACAAGGAGTAGCACATTGAAATGGTTAAGCAGCAGTGGGCTTTAGATTGATGCACTGTGGAGGGTCTGGAAGTTCAGCAACAAGGGTGGAAACGTGGGATCTGTAAAAGTCTTCCACCGCTTATATGAAATATAGAAGACCACTAGCTGGCTGCCATGCTCATAGACAAATGATGACCTCTTTGTCACCTCTATTCAATCATTCAGTGGAGAGCTGATAATACATATCTTGAATATTGTAAGAAATGGAAATAATACATAAGAAAACATTTATGAGTATGTGATCACTGAATAATAACACTAACTTATTATGCAATAATACCTGGTTGGTTTGAGCTTCTTTCATATGAAGATATTGAGTTTTTCTCTTTTTTATCTCATTGTAAACTGAATATCCTGTGTTGGTCTGATGGAATTTGGTTGGATATTTTTTTTCAAAGTTGTTTTATAAACTCAACGAATAATCAGGGCTACTGAGTGCATTAGCAGCAACATTAGAAGCTAGCTAAATGAAAGGATCAACCCAGTTAATTTGGCCACTATCAATGATAGTTCTTACCATGTTTTTGGAGGACATATTGTGTAAGCACCAATAGTATAACCCAAGTATGTTTAACTTGGGATTTAAGTATTCAATCTACTACACTATGATCATTTCATTGTCACCCAACTGTTATTATTTGCACTCAATCTCGAAAAATGCTGATATCTGCCATTTCAGAGCTACCTTTAAACAGAAAGGACTTAATTGGCACTACTTAAACCGTATCACAACAACCTGCTGGAGTGTAAGGTTCAGTGATAGACTCTACTCAGCTCTGCTTCAAAACACTTTGGTTATGCTCATCCTTCTTTTTCCCAAGCTTGCAATTAGGCTAGCAGTGGGTCCTATAGTTCCTCTGCACAGTCATAGCCAAGTCCTGATCTAAGTTAAAATAATTGGCGTGATAATCTCAGCTCATTAGCGTCCGAGCCTCAGGATGCCATTCAGTCCCAGCGTCCCCAGCCCCAGAGGGCGCTCTCAAAAAGGAGGACTGGTATTCGGCATGTACATTGTGAGACACTGTCCATTGATATTTGCAGTGAGAACGATTTTCAAAAGTGCAGCTGGCAGAAGATAAGTGTCAGCGTGTCTGGTCTCTTTTCTGGCTTTTCTCACTTTTACCTCCTTTAATCACGTACTCTAGAGAAACAAAAGACCTCAACAAGGACTCCAGTTGGTCCTTGGATGGTTGCCATGGATACAGTGCTGAGGCAGTTCTGTCGGCTCCTTCAAATTGCTAACATATTCATGCACCCCGCTCACAACACCCGTCTCATTCACCCGCTAGTCACAGTTTCAAAGCCAGAGGGGTTTCTGACCCAGAGCTCCCACTCCATCTCTACCCTGTTTCCCTCCTCTCCTCCTTCCCCTCTGTGTAACGGAGGGGATCATGCGTTTTTCTGTCAAACTTGATATTCCAAGTAAGGGGTCAGGGTTTTAGGTCCTTGAGATGTCTGAATAAAAAGCTGGTGGTATGGTGGGTAAATGACACATGTGTCTGCAAATCTTCAGGGACCCATGTTTTGGTCAAAATATGAAGAGCGCTTGTGGGCATGTCAGCTGAAGCAGGGGCCGGACACAAAATGTGTACCTCTTCAAATGTTAGTCTTTGTGGTGAATGATGAAATAGTGGAAAATCTCTCTGATACTTGCCCTTTAATAAAGTCAGGGTAAAACATTTAAAATGTAAGCCTGTCTGAATGTGAGAGTGGACGGAAAATACTTTGTATGCTGGTGAAGATAGTTTTGCCTTTTTTTTTACTTTGTTGCCCTTTCCCGACTCCATTCAGCCCATGTGGAACAGAGACACAACTCTGTTGTTCCTTCAGTAGGATTTCGGATACTTTTTGCTTCAGATGAGTGTATTGATGAAACTTCAAAAGAAAGTGTGCTTGTGACTTGATGAGTGCAGAGAAGAAAACAAAGATTGTGGACAGAGGCTTGTGCTTTTGGTGCTAGTTTATTGGTCTGTGCTCCCTACATGGAGCCCCGTGATGATTAATAAATCCAGTTGCCTGAGACGCCCCACTGTGAGCCCCTAAAATCCACAGTGTCAAAAATATCCTCATTTGTAAAGTTTTCCAAATGTGCTTTTGGTACTTAAAATAAGATAAGTAAAAAGGCAGCCATTGCCTGAATATTTATATTCATTTTAATTTGTACTTAAAACAATGTTTGGCAAAAATATATTTTAGTGCAAACCTTACTCCAGCGAGTACATTTGATGAAGATCATTTATTTTTCTTTGAATTTGTTCTTCATTATTATCACTACTAATCTTTCATTCTGATGCGAGTCTTACCGGTCGAACAAAGGGTGGTTTACCTTTCATACGTTTTGCATTTAAGTTATGTATGATTTTTCATGCGTGACAACAATGCCAACATATGGGAACAAATCTATAAATTAAACCACAGTGTATGTAATATAGGCTTGGAAACACACAAGCACTGCAAAGATTAATTCTGCTGAACAGGCGCTCTTCCCTGCCTTGAGGGTATTTACACCAAGCGCTGTAAGAATAAGTCAAGGAGAATCATTAAGGATCCCAACCGTCCGAATAACAGCCTTATCTCCCTGTTGAGGTTTGGGATGGAGGCACCGGATACACCTGGCCAGCACTGAGAGGCTCAAGAAGAGCTCCTACCCTCAGGCCGATATAGGATCCTAATGAGTTCACCGCCTAAGACTGCCCATCGCCCCAACATATATACTTACTGCATACTGCAGGATGACATTCCCCCGGAATTTTACCTGCCATTAATACATGTGACCAATACATTAATGTATTGATCAAATGCAAGATCCTTTTCTTAAAACCATGAATTAGAGCCACGGCAAATTATTATTTTCCTTATCGATTCCTTGTGGATGTCATTAATCGCTTGTTAGTCCAACCAACTGTTCAAACATATTCTCTCAATCCATCAAGTCCTTTTTCATCTTTAAAAACTGATTCTGAAAATCAGAAATTATCGAAATATTTAAAAACAAAATCAGTCTACTACAAGTATACCATATTTACACACATATATATATATATATATACCAGGCTGCTAAATCCTAAGAACTGTTACAGGATGTGTATTTTGTAAATTGTGTAACTTTTTATTTTTTATTATATTACAACTTTTTTTTAAACTTTAATACATTTTTAATGCATGTAACATATGTAACATTATGTAACATTAAGATATCTGTGGTTCTTTTTCTGCTGTAACAATGTACATTTCCCCTCTGTGGGACTAATAAAGGTATTCTGATTATAATAATACTCAAAAAAGTGTCATCAGATGTTCAACTGCTGACACAGACCAATCTTTCTGTGTTTTGAAACTTTGAATGGCGGTTGTGTGAAAAATGAGCTTATTCTGCAGTGCACAGGGAAACCACACTTCTACCATGACTGACCTTGCGTGTTGAGGAACAGAGGAGAAAATAGGGATTTTCAGACACGCTGGCTATGCTAGAAGCGTAGCATTGATAGGTTTATGGACAAATTGGAATATTCCAGTTTATTTATTACATAAGCTTTCAGCCATGCTCTGCTCAGCACAGTGGGGAGAAAGTCTTGGATATCCCAGGAGTATTCATTTATAAAGAGTGTCTCCCTTTTCTCCTTTTTTTAAGGGCACCAGGGTGCTCAGAATGGAGGAAGGAGACATTATTGCTTCGCTGCCAAATGCTCCAATTAGAGCTCCAATTAATGAGGATATTTTCTTCTTAAATGTTGCACATCAGAGAAAATATATTTAAAAAAAATACATTTGTTATGTAGTGGAGGCTATGAACTACTCATAAAATCACATTGCATTACAACCTCGTTTTTATGAATCCCCAGTCTTCATAGATGGTACTTTGGAAGTGTTGATGATTGACATGCAAGAGTTTCTTAAAACATTTTTTAAAATACTTTTTCTTCATGGAAATTTGGGATGGGGTCGACAGTGTTTTGTGCAGAAAAACCAGCACACTTTACCAACATTTAGACATTTTTATAGATAGCATTTTTTCCTTGCAAGCAATAATCTATCTGTCAGTGCTGCTGTTGTCTTTCTGGGTGGGAAAAGTAAAATGTTGGTAAGAAAAGAGTGTGCATATTTTTCTATCTAATCTTTATAAGCTACATCAGTCTATCTTGTTGATATTTCCTCTCTTACCAATTTTTATTTATTTGTTTTTTAATTATTGTTTCTAGGTGCCGGGACCACAGTGCCGCTCTGCTGTCGGCAGTATTCTGAGCGAGGGCGACAACAAGGCAGACGAGGAACTTCTAAAGAGCTATGAGACATCTGGCTTTAATGTATTTTCCTTTCCCGAAGTCACACATGTGGTCACTACCTCGTTCCCCCACAAGAGCTTTGTCTCTGTCCTCCTGGGAGAAAGAAGAATTTACCCAAGGCTAAAGCACTACATCAAGGTATTGTGTCTTTTTTGATATCACATTATCTTGAAAGTAAATATTTCATTAAAAATAACCAATTAGTTGTTCATACATTTTACAAAAACAAATCGTTTCAGGAAAAATATGATAAAATAGTATAAAATGCTTTTACATGAATGCCAATGTGAACAATTTCTTAATTCCTTTGTTATCTAAATGTATGGGTTATGAAAATAAGAATGAATCCCTGTGCATCACAGTGGAACAAACTGTTTCTTTACACACACCCAGCATTATCAGCCTTAAGCCCTTCACATACAGTACAGTACTTGTCCCATGGGCTTTAATGTTCTCTTAAAGCTGGCTGCACATTAAGTCAGCACACAACGCACCAATACAACTCTCAAAGAGCTCAGATATAGATAGTTGGCTTTCAGTGTTTCTTTTTTGACTTAGTTTGGAATATAAAAAAATGGGAATAGGTTCATTAAATCAATCAATCAATCAATCAATCAATCAATCAATCAATGTTTATTTATATAGCCCAATATCACAAATGTTACATTTGTCTCAGTGGACTTTACAGTTTGTACAAAATATCAGTATGACAATACGACACCCTCTGTCCTTAGACCCTCACATCGTACAAGGAAAAACTTCCGAAGAAAACCCACAGTTTAAAGGGAAAAATGGGAGAAACCTCAGGGAGAGCAACAGAGGAGGGATCACTCTCCCAGGACGGACAGACGTGCAATAGATGCCGTGTGTAAATTGAAAAGATAATACATTTGCAACATAGGTAGTCCAAATGTTTGGAAATGCATGTGTGTATAATAGGAAGATGAATCCACGAGGATATCCATCCAGGACCTATGATCCAGGACCACAGCCACAACTCAAGATCCAGGGCTCGCGATGCAGGACAGAGGAGCGCAGGATCATCCATGACTCCGGATCCCGGCGTATATAGACACCAAAAAGAAAGAAATTTGGGGAAGCTGGATTAATCGGAACATGAGAGTACACAGGTATAGACAGAGAGAAGGAAGAAGTAAGATGTCCCCCGACAAACTAAGCCTATATCAGCAAAACTAGGGGCTGAATCTAATCAGCCCTAACTATAAGCTTTATCAAAAAGGAAGGTCTTAAGCGCACTCTTAAAAACGGATAGGGTGTCTGCCGCCCGAACACAAACTGGAAGCTGATTCCACAAATGTGGAGCTTGATAAGAAAAGGCTCTGGCTCCCATTGTACTTTTAGAGACTCTAGGAACAACCAACAACCCTGCATTCTTGGAACGCAATGCCCTAGTAGGACAGTAGGGTATAATGAGTTCTTTAAGGTAAGATGGCGCCTGCCCATTAAGGGCTTTGTAGGTGAGAAGAATCATTTTGAATTATATCCTGTGTTCTATAGGGAGCCAGTGTAAGGCAGCCAGAACAGGAGTAATGTGGTCCCTTTTCCTAACTCTGGTTAGTACACGAGCTGCAGCATTTTGAATCAGCTGAAGCGACTTGACTGACTTCTTGGTACACCCTGATAATAAAGAGTTACAATAATCCAGCCTTGAAGTAACAAATGCATGGACTAGTTTCTCTGCATCGTTTTGAGGCAAGATATGCCTGATTTTTGCAATGTTACGTAGATGGAAGTAGGCGGTCCTTGAAATTGATTTTATGTGGGCGTTAAAGGATAAATCCTGATCAAATATAACACCAAGATTCCTTACAGTCTCACTGGAGGCCAAATTAATGCCATCCATAGTTAGTATATCCTTAGATAATTTGTTTCGTAGATTCTTCGGGCCAAGTACAATAACTTCAGTTTTGGTTGTGTTTAACATCAAAAAGTTTAAGGTCATCCACGTTTTTAAGTCCTTAAGGTAGTCTTGAATTTTATTTAGATGATTAATTTCATCAGGCTTGATTGATAAATATAGTTGAGTATCATCCGCATAACAATCAAAGTTTACAGAATGATTCCTTATAATATTGCCTAACGGAAGCATATATAATGTGAACAAAATAGGTCCAAGCACTGAGCCCTGTGGCACTCCATGGCTATCTCAGATAGATAGGACCTAAACCAGTCTAAAGCAGTTCCCTGTATGCCAACTAAGTGCTCTAGTCTTTGCAATAGGATATCATGGTCGATAGTATCAAATGCAGCACTGAGATCGAGCAAAACAAGAATAGAGACACGTCCCTTGTCAGAGGCTATTAGAATGTCATTTGTGACTTTAACCAGAGCTGTCTCTGTGCTATGATGTGTTCTAAAGCCAGACTGAAAATCTTCAAATAAATCATTGTTTTTTAAGTAATCACACAGCTGTTTTGCGACCGCTTTCTCAAGAATTTTTGAGAGGAACGGAAGATTAGAAATAGGTCTATAATTGGCTAAAACCTCTGGATCGAGGTTGTGCTTTTTAAGAAGCGGTTTTATCACTGCTACTTTGAATGATTGTGGAACATAGCCTGATAATAAAGACATATTCATAATATTTAATAAAGAAGTGCTAATTAATGGAAAAACTTCCTTCAACAGCTTAGTTGGAATTGGGTCTAACATACACGTTGATGGTTTAGAAGAGAGAATCATTGAATTTAATTGTTCAAGGTTAATGGCTGAAAAGCATTCTAGTTTACTATCTAGTGTAATATTAGAACTTACGTTTCCGGGAGCTGTTGATAACACTATACTGGTCAAAGGCAAGAGGTCATTAATTTATTAAATAAGCGTTATTGCCCACTGTCTATGTGCTAAGACAACTTTAAAGGAAAGGAGCAATGTGAAATGTGTGTGTGCATTATAGAATGAATCATTGCTACCACTAAGGTGGGCTTGCGTCAAGCGGGAAGCAAATAAAGGATCAATATCAAATTCTATGATGGTCACATGCTCATCTGAGTCATACTGTGCATTTTCAGGCAACACAAGTTTGAATGTTTTATAAAAAAATGCAAGTCAACTTCTTCTATTTTCATGGCCTGAAGGGTTGGGAAGTGTTTGTAATGTAATCCAGCAGGATGCAATTTAAAGTTGGAGAGGATATGGACCAGAACAATATAAGCTCCTTTTAGCACTGTATAACTAAAGCTGTCACGGAGTGCTGCTTGAGGGATGCTGGGAAAGTGAGTCATTGTGATGAGCCGAGAGTTGTGGATGTGGTTTAATTATGTAGCGTGCCTAAACAGGTGGCCACGCCACAGGTTGTCTCCGTCACTCTGCTTCTGCTGAAGAAATGTGTGTGTGTGTGTTCTGTCTGGCCTCCTCTACCATCTGCCTAGACTCTGTTTAAATGTGGCTCTACTCCAATGGCACTTAGCCTGTCTGAGAGGTCAGCTCATAGCCATCAAAGGGGACATCAGTCTCCTTTTCCAGCAATATTATATCTTCTTCTGATCATTGTTTCTAAACTAGCTACAATTTACTGTGTTGTCTCTCTACTCTAAATATAGCTCCATATAATGGGACATACTATAAAAAACACATTCTCTCACAAAATAGCATAAATACGTTGATAAGTCTTGAGTGAGATAAAAGAATATAATGGTATTCAGGGCCGTATCCAGGATTTCCTAAATACCGAGGTCCAAACATGCTAGGGGGGTTCGGGGGTATACCCCCTGCGATTTTTGGGGATTTTCATGATCTAGTTAGGTGCTTTTTAAGTCCTGTGGGCGGTCACACATTGGATAATATATCGATTTCAAACCATGTCAGTGGGCTGCAGCATCCAATATTTTTGAAAGTGTAATGCATAATAAATTGAATCAGTTGATTGTTACTATTAATGATCTGGACATACAGAAGAGGCTAAAATTATCACAAAACATTGTCAACATTAATTTTCCATGTCTCTCTCCTTTCCATAACCTGCACCCTCTCTTCCATCTTCTTGAGTCTCTCTGTCTTCTTCCTGTTCATTACTCTCTCTGTCCTCTACTCTTTCTCTTTGTTCAATCTCTCCCTCGTTGTTCACTTTTTGCTCCTCCTCACTTGTCGCTCCTGCCAGTGAATTAAAAGCAATTTAGTTTATTTCACTTGTTTGTTTGCATTATTTTTTTTAATTTAAATCTGTTTTGTTTGATTCTCAAAAGAGAACAAAGATGTAAGCAAATTGTGTTTTATACAATTGTATGTTATTATGTCATATATCATAACTGCAATAGATGTATGCTGTTTTAAGATTATGCCTATTATAAATGAAGGCTATTGTTATAGATAGAGAGAGAGAGATAGATAGATAGATAGATGGATGGATCTACATTCTTTTGTGTGACTGTACCTGAGGCCCACCAGAGACATCCTTCAAAATGGCCCAGAAAGGTTTAATCATCAACTCTCTAACATAGTTTCAGAAATACTGAACTTTATAACTTCACGAAGAAAGACATTTGCTGCAGGCTATTGTGTTAGACTGCTATTTCAAGTTAGACGGTCAGAATAAACTCAATAAGCTGAGGGTACAGAACATGTGTTTATTTGAACCAATATAGTTTCTGTCTATGTCTCATGTGGGCCAGCCATTATTGCCGGTTCAGCTATTGATATGCAACTCTCATATTGACCTTTTCTGCAGGCTGAGAACGCGGATGATTATACAGTTGTGTCTTTATCTATATTTTAAGAGTTCTGGATCTTGGATTTCTGCCAATAGAAAACACATTTCATCGACAGCGATGAAATCCAGTATGAGATTTGATTCCAAATCCTGTGGTCATGGCTAGAGGCTCAGGAAATATGTTTCATTTGAAATGTATCTTACAGGAATTACATATTTGGGTGTAACTAGTAGGTTGGACAGTTCTTCAGTGCAGGTGGAGTTTGCAGCTGTTAGCTCTTTGTTTTTTGACATGGACTTGCATAATTTTTTGCAAGAAAGCCATGTTTTGATTTAAACACAGCTGTGTGAGCTTGAGTATCAGTTCATCAGGGATGAAGTTATCCTCCCCTTATGGCCACTAACCTCATCGTGCAACATTTTCTTAATTTTGTTGGAAAATTGTTCCTGTGTCTTGTAATAAAACTGTATT